GATTGAGATTGACTTTGAAACGCTCAAGCCATCGACACTGAAAGAGCTGGAGCGTTACGTCATGACCTGTCTGAGGAAGAAGCCTCGAAAGCCGTACGGCGAGCTAGGTAAATGAAACGTCCACCAAAACACATATTGGTTTGTATCCTTGCACTCGTTTACATGTAATTAGAATTACTGATACAATACAGGGATAAAATCAGTACCTAGCATGTGAATGAGGATTGTCTTGTAGGCCACTTTTGGGGGCAGCACTTAGCTAAAGTGCAGACTTTTGGACAGTAAAAATGCACCAAAACTGCAAGTACTTAACTGCCGCTGAATTTCACTGTGGTTGGTTCAGATGCATCAATGTCACTCGACATAGAAAGAACAAAATAACGGTTCAGTCCATCTCAAAGCAGCTGAGCTTTGTAAAGCAGAGCACTAAGCCACTCATTTTTTTGTTTTGCTTTTTATATTTCAAATGCGAGTCAGTAATGGTTAACACATGACTTTTGTGGTGTGTTGATTAAAACACAGTCAGATCTGCCAACCCTTTTAAGCAGTATATATATTTTTTCCATTTAGATTTTATAGCCAAAGGCTAATTTTCAAGTGTTGTCCCTCGGCCAGTTGTTGAGTTACAATAACACAAACAGCATGTAAGATTATAACATGGCAGAACAAACATGAAGACAATCGTGTAATGACTGTGTATGATGGAGGGTCTGGCTGCTTTTTTGTCAGTGTTCAAGATTGAATGCACACCAACAGTTCTACACTTTGATATGAGAATTGGGTTTTTTCCCCTGACTGGACTGCTGAAGAAATAAAAATGTCACCACAGTGTTACACCAATTTGACAGGCATGTAATGTCATTTCTTTCAGCCAGTTAACGCACTTGACTTTGGTATTGCACCCACATCTTTTATTCATCTCTCCTCGCTCTGTGGCTCAGTGAATGAAGGGCTAGTTTTCCTCCTGAGTAAACGCTGCTGGATAAGTTCCTCAAGACCAAAACAGCAATGTGGAAAGTTTGAATTATGAATTTGCCAAGTTAGTATGTGCTGCGTTGCAACACAGTGCACGATGCGTAAAGCATTTATTCCAGTGGTTTTCAGTCTTGGGAGCAGGGTCCACAGAGCCCCTGCAGGAAGTGGGCGTGGATGACCAGGGGAAAAATGTGGAGTGGAAGTTGAATGAATTTGATTTATATAGAGGTCCTTTTTTATTAGTTGCTTCCCCTATCATTGTTAATGATTGATAAAAATTGGGGGCGGGGGTTTGGACCTCCTTCTGCTTCTGAAGGGGGGCACGCTAGAGAAAGTTTAAGAACCATTGATTTAATCAATGACATGTCAGGAAGCTAAGCTTCCCACGTCGATAACAGTAGTAGCTACTTGTTCTAAACTAATTTACCTAATTAAAAAAAAGCCAAATCGGCTAATTAGGGAGACATGTCAGAATGAAGAACTTGTACTTCAGGTCTGTTGGTCTCAGCTGATAGAGCTGATATGACTCATCTATACACAGAAAATGAATTGGAAACTATTTAGAAATCGTGCCGACATTTTAATGAGACCATTTGTTTCTTTTCTTTTTCTTATGTGACAGTAAACTGGATAGCTCTGGCTTTTCGACTGTCGGTTGACAAAACGAGCATTTGAAAGCATTCATAAAAATATTTTAATGTGCATTTCTCACATTTTTGTAATATTTTGTAGACCAAACTGTTATTATTGATGAATTTGGTGTACTTTACCTCCAGATGTCTGTCCCCAGTGCTCCCAAACCACTCCACTACCTAACACTTTATAAACAGTAATTGTAGCTCATTTACACAAATACACTAATACATAGGTCACTGCATTACCATGTGGATGCCAGGTGTTTTACAGCCTTGTTATCTTTTTACTAGCAGCAGCAGCAAAGAAAGGCAGCGTTGGCAAGTCCAAAGAGGAGCTGACTCTGGAGAAGCGGAGGGAGCTGGAGAGGAGGCTGCAAGATGTCAGCGGACAACTCAACTCTGTCAAGAAACCTACGAAACCTAAAGGTGAGCTCATACATCCTCACTGTCTGTACTGTCTCCTCACACCTTTTGATGTTGCATAAAATATTTTACAACCTTCTCTTTTTCATCTCTACCTGGTACAGCTGTACAAATCTAATTTACTCTAACCGACTCCTCTCTCCTCAGTGGAGAAGCCCAGCGCTGTAGAGACTAACGCCCAGCCCTCACGCCTCAGTGGCAGCAGCTCCAGCTCCGACTCTTCCTCCTCGTCCTCCTCATCCTCATCCTCAGACACCAGCGATTCAGACTCGGGTTGAGATCCTTAGCACTGGCTAAGAGTGAAAACACTAATAACTCAGGGATTTGGGCTGGCCCAGGACGCAACACACCCTGAAACAGTAGTTGGCTGAGATATTAGACACCATGGAAACAAAAAAAAAAAAAACACACTTCACGTGGACTCGTAAAATGTTTTGAATGTGGGACTGAGGGATGTGAAACAAAGTCTCTGTGGATAAATGTAGAACCCAAACACTAAATGCCTTGGTTTCCCCCCTCCTCCCCTTTGTAAATACTTGTACAAATTTATGTTTCTTTTATAAAGAAGAATTTTATGGTGATCCCCCAAAGAGGGAAGTGGAGTACTAAAAACAAAAAAAAAAAAACAGGATGTGGAAAGATGGGCCTTACTCCAAATCTGCTTTGGCTGGCCTTACGCCGTGTCCTCTGTGGTGAGGGAATGGAAGAGTCTTTATTTATTTGTTTTCCTCACCCACATTTCCTCAGATGTTACTGGAATTTCAACCAGCAACCCTTCGGTCATAAGCCTTGCTTTTTCTAACATCTGGACTTCTGCCACACTTAATTTTAGACCAACCCCCGGAGTCGGCCTTAACGATCCAGATTGTTAATAACAAACAGATTATTTGGGAAAAAAATACAGTATTGTTAAGGAGCTCTGAGTTTCCTTCTCATGTTCACGGGTCTATTGAGCAGTAAATAAAAGCAAACCTATGTTTTTCTGCCATGTTCAGGTTAAAATTCAAAGTTGGTTACAACTTGAGTTTGAGTTCTGGATTATGACAGTTCTGTTTACATACATTGTTCTCCTCAGTTTGACATTGAGCTTCATGCTGCAGCCTGTTTTACAGCCTGCATGACAACATGGTGGGTTTATAGTACAGTATAGAAATGGTTAAACATACTGTAATCACAAAGTTTGCAGTTACCTTACATATTTGTATTGTATTTTTATGGCTGCACTATTCCCTCAAAATCCCACCAGCCATTTTAAGACTGACCGGTCTTATAAACACGACACTAATGGAAGTACTGTCTGTCTTCAGTATTTTGGAATCGGTTCTTACAGTTCGGCTTTGATATTGTTCTCAACATTTCTCCTCATCATATCAAACAGTAACTTAAGTGTGCATCAGTCTCTGAAGAACACAGACTGAACACAGACTGCTGAATGTTATCAGATCACAGTGCAGGTTTCTCATTCCCACATTAATCTCCTTAACCTGTGAAGTATTGCATTACTGTGTCTTGAAGACATCTGTAGCACTTGAAAACTCAGTGAAGGTTTCATAAAAGAAGTCTTTAAGCTGCTCTGCACTTACTGGAACAACGAGTTGACTGAATAAACTGAAGATGGATAATGCTACAAGTTTCCTTCAGAGAGACAGGAAAGTATACTCATAGTCCATGCATAGTTAAAGCTGTTGTTGAATGTTCAGTGAAAGAAGATATGCTTGTATATATTTAAATTGTATTTGCTGTTGCACAAACTTGTATTTCTGCTGTTCAGTCTTTCTTTTCTTTTCTTTTTTTTGAGTTGAATTGTTTCCTTTTTTCTTTTTCTTTTTCTTTTTCTTTGTTTTTTTTTTTTACACGTAATTATTTCTAATTCCAGCTAACTGTCTAAGTTGTTTCCTGAAGAGCATTCACATCAGCATTGCTGCCCCTGGTCAAGCAGGTTGCTGCCTCTCAGAAACATACTTTTCATTTGACGACTGTGTTTATTAAACTATTCTCTTCTGTAGAAAGAGTTCGACTTTTGTCTGGGGTCAGTGGAAGATTGATAGTTTGACTTTATGTTTTAAAACCTGCTATGCAGTGCTTAGAAGCGATTGTTGATCAACAGAGTTGGAACAGTTTTCATAATCGTCTTAAGAGTAGTCCAGTCATTGATTAAGGCATCAAGAGAAAATATCTGCAACTATTTGAAAACTGATGAAGCATTTTAGTCATTTTCTCAAGCAAGAATAACTTTTGCTGCTTTGAGCAGAAAAAAAGACACCTGTCCGTGGGCAAAGAGCAGTTCTCAATATATTCTGGCATTTAATCAACAAAATGATTAATGAGTTAATCAAAAAAAAAAAAAATGCAAATTAAGTGATATTGATCAAGTTAATTTATTCATAATCCATCATTCAATAATTGAAATGTTATGTTCAAATTGTTGAAATGTTTACTATAATTGTTGGTTGCAGCCCTAGATTAATTCTTAAGTCATATAAAACCAGAAATACAAAAACATTTGGTTCTGGTTCCAACTAAAATGCTGCTTTTCTGTTTTCCATCACTGTAATTTGAATATTTTATAATTACTTTTGGCCTGGGATTTCATTAATGTTTTATTAATTAAATGATTCATAAAAAACAATAGCTTAAAAACACAAATGAATAACTAAACTTTTGTTTTTAGTAAAAAAACGACAAAATTGTTTCTAACTTTTCTCTGCACAGGCTGCACATGTTGTGATTACCACCTTTGTCCAGTAGGTGGCAGCGGCGAGGCATGTTAAAATCTGAGTTGCACCTTCCATCAGTGTTTTTTAAAAGTGGAAACATTGTTGTCACTGAGTTACAAGCCTTGATTGGTTCCTGTATTAAGGAAGTGCCACTAGAATATAAATCCAATAGTGATGTTTAGGAGGGAGGAGCTACAGGCGGTGAAACCTGCCCAGGTTGACATGATGTTTATAGCATCTGAAATACAACATGGCAAGGAATCTGTTCCCAGTACTGCTACTTATTTGTGTTCCAAAACACAGTCCAGGTAAGTTTTTCTGTTTGGCTCTGGATTCTAAAACGTCCCTATTTTCTTCCATTTAACGATTTCTCCAGCCAGCTACATTTTTACAACAGAAACCATCATGGTTGGTTACCTGCCAGTGCGGCTGATGGAGCCAAAAACTGCACAGCCAAAATTTCAGCAGCGACTCGGATGGTGTCTGGTGTCAGTTCTCCACATTATTTGAGATATCAGGCCATATTTACCTCGAGCATAGACACCAAATTTACTCTCAAAACTCACTATTTTAACCAACTTGACTGCACGTTGCGAACACCAGTATGTCATGCAATATGTATTTCCTGCAGGCAAACACTTGCTCCGCTTCTTGACCTTCTGTCAAAGGGACGTGGTGGGTGATGGCCAGTATGATATTGAATTCGACGGTGATCAGCTCCTCTACGTTGACCCTGTCACCTATCAGGCAGTTCCACGGCTCCCAGAGTTTGCGGACCAGTGGACCCCTGATCCTGGACTGGCCGAAGACGCATACGTGTCCCTGGGTACCTGCAAGTACAACATCCCACGTGCCATAAAGAGAGAAAATAGTCCCCCAGAGGTCATAGGTGAGGAAGCTGAATCACTGAGTTTCTCTTGTGGAATTATTTTTTAGTTTTTACTGATAATCTGACTATTTACAAAAATGTATCTGAATCTGTGAGCCTCAGGGCTGTGGGGTTCTGGTCCCTGTTTGATGTACATTAAAGCTCTTAAATGAAAAGACCACAGTAAACATTCGTAAACATCAAGAATATCACCGCTCACTTCATTGTTCCAAAACCCAGACCAGATTATTGCCTCCTCCCAGTCACAAAAGTCAATCAAACTACTGTGGTCTAATGGGAGCATCAGTAAGCGGGGTTATTAAACACAAGTTAATGAGAAGATTGTTCTGGTGTGTATTCTTAAGACAAGAACAGGTACCAGCAGGGAAAATCCCTGTGAGCTGCAATTAACCTCTCTGGGTGTATAATCATGCTTGTATTGTCAGTGCAGGTGAAGGTGTCACTGTCACTGTTTATTATGTAGCTCTTCACTGGGGAGTTTCCATTCATTAGCATGCGCTCCATGATACTGCGAGGTATGTGTGTCTCTGGCAGTCTTCCTCTGGTTCTGCTATGATTTGCACTAAAGTTATCTTTGTATTCTGTGATATCTTTTATTTTATAGTCATATCAGCCCCAGTGGAAACTTGTCAAACACAACAGAAATGTTGTATTGACAATGTTAAACGTCGAAAAAGGTTTTGTGTATTTTGCTGTTTTGGGATCATTCAAGCCACAGCCCATGATTTGACATTTGACTCATTATCAAGAAAGAATTCCATGTTAAATATATTTTTCAACACAATTAAAGTACAGTAAATGTCGTATTTTTGCACTGTGGTTTGTCCAATCCCTGAGATCAATTTAGGGACTGAGGCAGCTCAAATCTAAATGCAAAAGCATACAGTGTTATTTTAGCCAATACTGTGTTCCAACTTTGTGGCATCAGTTTGTACCCCCGTGCACAATGCAAAGACCATACATTTGGTGTGGAGAAGCAGCACCTTTTTGATGAATTGGAATAATAATAAGTCACATATAGCTGTCCACATATTTTTGACCATGTAGTGTAACTATCTGTCTGTGTCTGTCAACCATCCAACCATTCATCCACAGTCAGTCCTACCTCCATGATCTACCCGAAGCAGGACGTGGAGCTCGGGGTCCCCAACACCCTCATCTGCTTTGTCAACGACTTCCATCCGCCTGAGGTCAACATCACCTGGAGCAGGAATGGGCAGCTGGTGGACCAGAGTGACGTCAGCCGGACTAAGTACTACTCCAACAGCGACTTCAGCTTCCGCACCGCATCCTACCTGAAATTCACCCCGCAGGAGAACGACATCTACTCCTGCAGCGTGGGCCACATCAGCCTGCAGGCGCCTCTCTCCAGGTTCTGGGGTAAGTCATTATGAGTCCCAGCTATGAATTGGTTAGTGGATGTTTTTAGTGTCAAACAGGAGAACTAAAGAGTGAAGATGTTGCACCATGATTCATGCTGTCTGGAGACTGGTGATGTCATTTCCCTTCTAGCAAGACTGCACATCCCTTGCCTTTTTCCCCTAATGAGATATAACTGTTGCTGCTCTCGCGCTACCGAGAACATGTCAAGAAATTTAACCAAAAAAGATTTGGACTGGTATCACCTTTCAAAACTCATTTCACTGAATTTTTTATGCTATCTACTGTATCTGTGTGTGTTTGTGTGTGTGTTCTTTCACAGAGGCTGAAGAACAAACAGACCGGCAGACTGTGGAGACATCAGTGTGTGTGTGTGGTGTGATCCTGGGGTTGATTGGAGTTGTCACAGGACTCTGGTTCATCATGAAAGCCAACAAGTCCCACCGAGTGTAACACGCATCGAGACAAACACCTGAATTTCAATGATAGATGTGTGATTGTCTTTTTGCTTTTTTTTCTCCTTGTGTTTCTTCCTTCAGGAGTGAGATTCCTCTTGGTCCGTGTCAGACTTTTATTTGTTTTCATTACACCAATATTTATATGTCGTCTGTTAAGTTAAAAAACCCATCAATTCAAGCAATAGTTTGTAATTTTAGGAAATACACTTATTCGCTTTTATTTCTCTGGACAGAGATGAGAAGACTCCACGCTCACTTCTGTAGAGTGAATATAAGGCTACAGCCAGGAGACTGTTAGCTTAGCACAAAGACTGGAAACAGGTGGAAACAGCTAGCCTTGCTCTGTCCAACACACACCCACTGGCACCTCTAATAGCTCACTAATTAGAAAGAAATTGTCTGGCACGTAGTCCCCTGTAAAACAGCAAATTTACATTTTTACACTTTGGTTTTTGTTTGGATCAAACAAATGAGATTTAACTTGCTAATTAGTGAGCTTTAGAGACAGATGGACAGATATGACAGTGGCATCAATCCTCCCATCTAGCTCTCTGCCAGAGCGTTTCCCAAAATGTTGAACTATTCTTTTAAAAGGCTCCAGACACCATTTCTAAATTTGCTTGAATAAATGTATGCAGGAGACTCAAGATTATTAACCCATTACACATACAGATTAACACATAGTCTTTCATTATACATTAGAAAAATATATATTCTCATAAATCATAAGGTGCAGAGGCTTTACGCATGTTTGGCGATATTGTTGCACAGTAACAGGTTTGTATTTCCACTGTGTTTGTCATGTTCACATAATGGACATGTAGGGAAGTTGAAAATGCCAGTTCCTGTTTGATGTGAAAGTACATGCAAAAGACTTGAAAATAAAAGTGAACATATCCATTACATTCCTGCTCGTGTGTTTATTAACCCTTTCATCACAGCAGCCTGTGCTGATCACTGGCACGTTCACAAAGTCAACATCAATTATCACTTCACTGACTAAGCTTTTGGGCAAATCGTTGCTCCTGCAGTGACAGCCTGACATGAATGATCCGTAAATAATGTCTGTCATGTCTGCTTGCTTGTGTTTTTAAATACGGGCATAAAATGCAGATGCTCCAAACTGTCTCTGTTGTCTGCCGGTTTATTTGTCTCGGGCCTGAATCTAATTATTTTCACAGTGATGGATGAGCCACATTTTAATATGGAAGTGTGCTGAGCATCTGAGGGATGTATTTTAGATCCCAAACACTGAAAATACTGCAGCTCTGATTGTGTAATAACAGTATACATTCAGTCGTGTAGAAATGATTCATGCCATGGACTCTGTGGGTATTACTTAAATTACAGAGTAGAGAGACCAAATACTGAATGATGAATTTATTTACAGAAGTGTGCTTTGACTACTTCAGTAACAGGCAAGCAATTGCATGAGAAGAGTGAAAGTATATCTGTCTCACTTACATGTAATTGCTGCACTGTGGGGAATTCCTCCCTATTAATTAATGAACATGACAACAAAAGAGCTTTGATAAAACCAGAAATTCAGGTTTGTGTCATTTACTGTGCAAGCGAGCAGGAAGCAGTTTTGTTTTTTGAGCATGAGAGGTTTGAGGAACATGATTGAGTCTGTAATCTTTTGCATGTTGCAAATGATGAAATTTACATTGTGGTATTCAGCGTTTAAAAGATGATGGGACTTTATTTTCTCTACAGTCTTGCAGTCTCTGCTGTTTTACTCTGCACTACACCAGCAGGTCAGTTTCTTTATGTATTCATTCATTCATGTATAGGCTATTGCTATATTATTTATAATAGTTTATTGGGTTTTACAAGGTTGATAAAATGACTGACACACTTAATACTATACAAAAAATCTGCTGTAAAAGTGATTTGCTGATATTCATAGATTTAAATTTATTTAATTTCTTCTTTATGTCATCATTATTTTTAGAGACTTGACTGCTTGCAACACTACACCATTTTGTTTTGTTTGTGTCCTCTTTGTGCCTCTGTAAGTTGCCCTATGTTGCCTTTAAAGGAGCTATTGCTATTGCTACATAGCCAGCATTAGCATTAATAGCTGTTTACTTATCAGTCAAGAGCACACATTGCACGTTCAGCATCAAATTTCACTCCTTTATTCACTAATAGCTGTCTCTGAAGGTGTAAAGCAACATCAGCGTTAACTCTTGTCTCTATCACATCTTTTGTTCTACTGAAGTTGGCATGCTAACCAGCTAGCACCAACTCACTGTAGCCTCCAATCTGTCCTCAAGAGGTTGCATTGCTCAGAGGACGTATTATAACCTCTTGTCTTGTAAACACGATGATGGCCAAAGCTCTTGTCAAGTGACAAAGAAACCACATTCGGTGCCAGAGGAAACTTACAAATATCCTCTTTAAAACAACACTGTACTGTTCTGTTGTTGAGCTAGTTAGGTGGTCCTTAACAACCTGGTGCTAATCAGACAATCACTGATGTGTGGAAGTTGGGGATTTTGTCAACTCAGATCATGTTAAAGTGTGATTGGTCTGGTTTTAGTTCTAAAAGAATAGTTTTGGAGAGTTTCTGTTTTCACCTGCACTTACATTCACCATTTTAACTGAAACAATGCCTCTGACAGTCTCTGCAAGCACCAAAGAATATCATCAGTAGCCACAGTAATTATGACAGAAATCTTTAATTTTGCCCATCCTCTGAATGTGACATGTCTCATTAGTTTGTCACGGAGATTATATTAGAATTGTAGGTTGGAGCCAGTGATGAAAAGTTTAATTTGTTTGCTGAAGTGACTAATTTTATTGTCACAATTTTCTGTATTAACCGCTTTTCTTACTGTTACAGGTGGCTATGTATATCAGATGATATATGACTGCGAGTATGGCGACAACATCACGGATGTGGTCTTCTTTGTTAAAAACATATTTAACCAGAAGCTCAACAACATATATGACTCTCGGGTTGGGAAGTACGTCGGCTTTGGAGAATATGGCATGAAGAACGCAGACCATTATAACAACCAGGCTTGGAAAATGGCCTTAAGAAAAACTCAAGTAGAGACTCTTTGCAGATACAATGCAAGACTGTTCAGAAGGAGCACACTGGATAGAAAAGGTAATTTTCTGTGATTTTTACTCTTTGAAAAGATGAAGGTTTTGAAGCAGGTTATTACATGACTAACAGTGCCACTTCACTGGATTAATTCATTTCATCAAAAAAAAAAAAAAGGATTTAATTAAATGTCTTGAAGAAAATTAGTTTAGCCCATGACTCTCTTCTGCACTCAGCCTCCATGTCCAGGTCATTTAGCAATTTTCTTTTTGTTATCATGTCTCTACTCCAGTGCCTCCGATTGTCAGGGTCCATCAGACCAAGCTGGCTAACTACGGGGAGCGGTCCATGCTTGAGTGCAGTGTTGTGGGGTTTTTTCCCCAAGAAGTGAGGGTGAGCTGGCTGAGAGACGGGGTGGAAGTCCCCACTGATGTCTCGTCTACAGACGTCCTGCCCAACGAGGACTGGAGCTTCCAGCTTCACTCTTACCTGGAGCTGATACCTAAGAGAGGGGAGAGGGTGAGCTGCAGGGTGGACCACAGCAGCCTGAAAGAAAGCCTGGAGGTGGCCTGGGGTAAGCGTTTGTCCTGAGGAGAAAACACACTCAACACTGTTCACATCATCTGACAACTCAAGAAGGTTGTGTGATTAAAAAGGTGGTTGTGTGGGGGTTAGAAATACTAGACTCTGACAAAAATTACAATATATCCATTAAATTAGGGTTTAATCTCATTGAACTGTGGACTTTAGCTGATGTTAAACTTCCATGTTTGCTGGTTCTCAGGCTCTGAGCTCCAAGTTGGAAACATATTATATTAATATGACATGAATGCAGCATCGTGATTGTGATGGAGAGGTGGTGGGTCGTAAAATACTGATCAAGTCATTTGTATCGTAACGATGAGATTCCAATGCGCAGGAGTAAGTAGAGATAACTGGTTAGGATTAGGATAAGGTTGGAGTTAGGTTAAGTATCATAACACACGACTGGTTAGGGATAAGGTGAAGGTTAGGTTCAAGATAAGATTAGGGGAAACACATGGGGAAACTGATTTCACTTCCTCCAGGATCTATACCCCGAGCGTTGGACTCTAGTGTCAACTGCATTTTTATTGAATTTTCCAAACCGGCAGTTTTCCCTGGTGTATTCTTACGTTTCCACATCACCTGACCTCCACATGCACCTGCTCACCTGCTTCTCATTCCCTCATTTGTCCTGATACCAGCCAGCCAGCACCCACTCCCTGCCAGGTTGTCTGTTGTGCCTCTGTAATCAGATAGAGTTTCAACTGCTGTTCTTGTTTGCATGTCTTCCCATTCATGTTTCTCCGGCTTTTCACTGCCAACATCTACTACCAGAGCTGTTACGCGTTATTTAAGAGCAGCCTTGAACAATGGGCTGGTTTGTCAGCTGTGTTGTGAATGAGAGGAGGTTTGACAGTTTGAGAAAGCAGAGGCATGAAGAGCGAATGAGATTGAAGGGCTGAAATTCATCAGCAGAATGTGAGAAAGAAGGTCTGAAAACTAGCATTAGCATTACCCCAGCACGTTTGATTTATATAAAGAATTGTGCGTATACAGATAGCAATAAGGAATTATTAAGGTATTAAGGATTTTAGCTGTTTCTAAGTATTTTTACTTTCAGATGGTGCTAACTTCATCTTCATGCCACCTGACTAAGTATTCTGATTTAATAGGCTGTAGGATCTAAGATTTCACTGTCAATATTTCTCTCACTTAGACACATTTGCTCTGGATGCTAAACATGTGAAGATGACAGCGGGGATCATCTTCTTCTTTATCGGCCTCACTGCAGCTGCTGGTGGAGCAGTTTACCATTGGTGGAAACAGAGGTGTATGTGGACATCAGGGTTTGTTATTATGAAACCATTCACTTTTCTTCTGTGCAGTATTCATTGTTTATTTTTTCTGAGAGCAGAGATGGTGACAGAGAACAGACTGTGAGAAGTGGTGTACTTGAGTTATGAAATAAAAACAGTTCATCAGGTTTTTATGACACTACCTTTTTTATGTTTCAGGTTCGACTTCAGCCCAGTAGGCAGACAAGGATAAACATCTTTATGTCTTTCAGAACTGTAGATTTGTTGTTGGTTAAAGTGCTTTGACAGAAGGCAGTTGTGATGATATAACGGATAATAAAATCAACCATTGAAGACTGCTTGCTGCTTGCTGAAGACTTGGATAATGTTACAAGTATTAAAGGTAAACCCCCCCCCCCCAGCTTTCTTGTGTACAAAAACTGTCTTTCTTCAAAAAACCTTAAGCCCAGAAAAAAGAAAAGGAAAAAGTCCTTCCGTCCTTCAATCTGCTTCACCTGACCTGCAGAGGGAGGAGATAAACGGCATCGTGGGAAGGCAACATGCTGTTCCTCTACTATGGAACTGGCCTCCTGACATGGCAGAGCTCCTCCTTCATTATTTTTATCAGCCAAGGACTCAACCGACATGGTATCCATCAGGAAAAGTGCCATAAATTCTTGTAACATTATGTTCTGATCATTTTGTAGGATTAAAGTGTCAGACCTGTCTCTTGTAATAGTTCTCACCTTGGAGTAAGACTCCTATCTTTACCAGACAGGTCACATCTGTGTATGTGGATACATATAGTAGATAAATTAGATAAATTGAGTACTTTATTAATCCAATAAAAACCTACAATCTTTAATTAGAAATAAGTATGTTTATGAAAATTTTGATTATTTATTAGTAACTTGAACTTCGCGCACAGCTGCTGTTGGACTTATACTTGCAGTTTACTCTCACTTACAGCTGCAGTTTACTGATTTTTGCTGCTGCTTGTGGACTTCATGCTGGTTTACTCTGTGTCCAAGAGAATGTGGGTACTCATGTTTTGTAAATGTGTCTTTTAATAAAACAGCATAATGTAATCTGATTCTATCCTGCATCTCAGGGAAGGGCTGGCATGGGGAAAATATCAAGAAATGAACAAACACCATTCAGGCCCACCGCCAGAACAGTAATGACCGTCCAGCATGTATGGTGTACTTCAGGCCTGGTTGTGGGTCTCTGGGCCCAGACCCGGCTGAGTCTTTGCCAGAATAATTTGAATAACAGCATAAGAAAAGTAAACTGGGGAACAAAGAAAAACAGGAACACTTTGTTTTAAATGCGGAAGACAAAAAGCAGGACGGTTGCAGTGAGCCCCTGCCTGGATCTGAGACCAGTAAAAACCATAGACTGTATATAAAAATGGATGCTGACTCCGGGTCTGGAAAATGAAGCCAATGCGGAAGTGCCTTAAACTTGCATTCTATCGAATGACCATCAGGGGGCGACTCCACTAGTTGCAAAAGAAGTCCGATTGTATTGAGGTCTATGGGAAAATTACCCTACTTGTCACTTGATTTGTTACTTCAGTAAACGTTTTCGTCATGTGTTTATGGTCTGAATCTCACCTGCCTGTTAATCCGGATATGAGGTCAGAGCGACGTGTCGGACATTTGACTTGTCATTGTGTTTTCAGCTCATCAAAGTTAGCGCCAACATGTTGTTTGCCTGAAAATGTCTTGTTCGGCGTTCAGTTGTTCTAAAAGACACTCGGAGGAGTCAGCGGTTCAGTTTTTTCCGGTAAGTAAATTTTGTTTTAAGCCTGTTTCTTTGCTAACCAAAATTAGCATCCTTGTTAATATCACAGTTCAGGTGAAGACGCACCTTACTAACCGAGCTAGCTAGCTAGTGCTAGCGTTAGCTGATAATTTTGCTATTGCTATGCTAACGGTACCTGGGCACGCTCGGCAGGTAACCTGTGTCAACCCGGGTTAGCCCGTGGAGGTGTTCAGTCAAAGCCCAATAAAAAGGTGAATTTAATCGACGTTAATCTAACAACGTTTGTTTTGTGTTTCTCCACATGTGACCCAGTTTAAGTGATCTGCGTTAGTGTAATGCGCAGCGTTAATGTTAGTTAATACATTGTCCATCGAGACGTCGTGATAGTTCAAGTTAAGATAACGTGACGTTTACAAAATGTGTAGACAAATATTTGTCATATAGAAGATTGTTCATTTAATACTCAAACCAGTCCTCAACTGAAGCAGACATTCATGCACCTATCCTGACAGCTGATCGATATTTGTGATTAACTGTGATCCACCGCATCTTAACTCAAGTGTTTGTGTTTTATTGTCATTTGAAAGGTTTCCACACTGTGAAAACTGAGTGATCTGTGCCAACAGAAGGAGGACCTCATGTACAGAGCAGCCCGTTTGTTTCCATTCATCTGGTTGTGGAGAAGGGAGACTGCATGGACATCCTTAGTTCTCTAATGTGCTGTGATGATGATGATGGTAGAAAACCTCTCCCAGTTCATCTTCCTCTGATGAAATGACCTGCAACTTCATTTCTGCTGCTGTTGACAGGTGATGGTAGAAACACTTTTAAGAACAGAATTTATAAATATTAAACTGTGGTTAAGTGATGGATCATTTCTAGCACTGTCACCACCTCCACAGGTGAAAGTATTTACCAATTAACTTTAGCATGTGTTTTTGATCCTTCATTGTTGTCAGACAACATTTAAATATTTCTAGTATTTATGTTGTTGATTAAAGCTAACATAGAAATAGTCACACAACGTACGTGTTACTATTGTGAAAATTCATGCCAGATGTGTTCTATAAAAACCGTCAACAAACTTAAAGCAAGAGCTTCATAAATAACTTTATTGGACATTATAAACTACATTTATTTAAACAATTTACAACACTGGAAACATGTCTAAAATAATCTAATAAATGGATTAATTAAATACTGTAGTGTACAATTTACAATCAACTGTAACTATTTAAAATCAAAAAATAGTTGTGGATGAAGTTAAAGCTGAATTTCACTGTCATATGTAAGTTTGCTTAATAAAAAGAAGTAGTTGAATCAACAGTGCAACAGAATCTTTGGTAACAAGTATAATCATTATTCATCATGAGTCCTAATGTGTGAGACGGTTTGCTCCAGAAACAATCTCCCTCCAAATAAGTGATGCTGTTGGAACAGCACACTGATATTAACTATAATGGCTGAGGACTATGAAATATGAACTCTAATGTTTTAAACTATTGACAGTTTGTTACAGCTACAGTGGAGTCCAAAAGTCATGTGATTGTATGTCTGACGTGGGGCAGAGAGTGTAATACGACAGTGAGGGTGTAGGGAACAAGGAAGAGCATAGCTGAACAGACTGAACAATGTTATGGCCACAAGTGTTACATTAAAAAATACTATATTATCATGTAAGACACTGTGTTTATGTTTGGGAAGAGAAGATCTTCATGTGTGGACACTGCAGGTGGAGGTGGTGCAGGGCCTCCATCATTGCTGCAAGAGGTTGTAGGTGTCCCCAAAGATCCAGACCTTGGCTGGATGGAAAAAAACATTATAATAGAGAGAAATCATATCAATATCATATTGTAGAGTACAGAGAAAAAGACAAAAGAAACAGCACTCTGATTAGATGATCACAGATATCTGAAAATACATTATTCCCTCAGCTTAGTTGTAATAAACAGTCTGCTGAACCGTTTTACATGAAATAACAATAGAATAGAAAGTAATACTCAGTTTGGTGTCATTGTGCAGGTGCACATGTCATGATGGTTCTCAGCTCTCAGTGATGGTCTTTATTCTGACAGAGACAGAATCATTCCAACAGATGTTTTGACTCCTGTCATCAATAATGAAATGAACTAGAGCTGAAAACTAGCCGACTAACACTGAACCAAACTTAATATGAACAAACACGACACACACGTCCGCTGCTCTGCTCTTTAACAGCGCGTCCAGACACGACAGTTCACTGTAATAACGGGATCGTTTAGTGACCGTGACTTACCGACATTGACAACCCGCTGTCTCTGTTAACACTAAGGTCGGTGACGTCACCTTCGCTTTGCAGAACTCATTGTAAAACACGTTATAACATGTTTTCCCTCGGTCTATGGTTTTAATACAAGCGGTTACACCACACAGATAGCTTACACACAGTAACTTCAGCTAATATTACAAGCTTTCTCCTCATATATGTGATATTTACCAAATGTGGACATGTATGCAATTAGCTACTAAGATTATTTTAACACAAAGATATAAAGTTTACCTTGAATTATGAATGCTAACTGTGTTAGCAGCCACTTCGTACCGCGTATCCAGGAGCCTGCTGCGGTCAGGTAGCCGGTGTAGGCGGCCGTGCAGAGCAAAGATCCTCTATACAGAAGATGCCGCATCACAGGCAGCGCCAATGGTATGAAATGGGACACAGTTCCGGTCTCCTAAGTGGGCGTTAATAAATATAAACGGATATAATACATCCATGGTGTAGGACAGTAGCCTAAATCAGCCACTGGGTGTTGCAGCTGCAATGTTTATTCCCAGGTGAATCCCGGTTTTGGTGTTTGACCACTGTGGGTCACCGTAGCTTTGTGGTGCGTTTTGTGCGGGACGCCACCTTGGTTTATTGTTTTCTTATCTCATGGTACAAGGTAAGCAGTGTTAACAGCAGACTGTGTCATCTTAAAATAGCTTAATTTAAATGACCCTTCGAGTCTTTCTCTTAAAACTATCTGCAAATAAGATTTTGGTTAACAATTTGCCACGGGTCTGAGACGTGAGCAGTTGTATTTCCTGTGTTAAGGTTGTTCGTAATTTTGGCTAGCCGGCTAGCTTTCTCTGCGTCACTGCAGCATTTGGTCAGTCACGTGACCCGGGTGTGAATGCTGATTGCACCCTTAAACACAGTAGCCTTCAGTGTGATAGGCTGTTACTTGTGATGTGTATGGTGACTACAGAGAGGCCAAAGTAGCACATTTTAAAATTCATTTATTTGTGATCCCTAGTAAGCAGAGTCTGTAGTAAAGAGACAGCTTCAGGGTCCGTGTATGTTCAGGCAGTTCATTTTTTCGTTTTAAACCAGAAATGAGAAAACTGAAAACACAGCCGTATTTCCGTTTTTGTTGTCAAAATTTAAAAAAAAAAAACAAAAAACAAAAAACAAGAACATCCAATTTTGGTGTTTTTTAATTTTTCCTTGTTTAATTGAGAAATCAAGAAAGGTAGCCAGGTGACACGGAGGTAAATATTTCAAAATCTTTAGAGTGTGATGTATTATTTACTTGCTTAGTGTGAATTAATATAAATTAATTAATGATTAATTAGGCTATTAATTCAATTGAGAATGAAGGACTTGGTGGTCCCTCATTCTCAAGGACCTCGTGCCTATTAGAGAGGCAGTGCTGGCCAGCCCGGGGTTAATGGCTCAGACCAACGTCCAGCTCTTTGAATTGAATTGAATCAAATTGAGGACTCAGTGGTAAGAGTTTGTCATAAAGCTGAGTTGGTGTGTTGTAATCTGTACTGTGGTTTATAGAGGAAGGCGGCCCGAAGCTGCTGTGGCAGAGCGGGGGCCGCTGCCTGGAGGGAAAAACGGCTGGTAGCCAACATCATACATCTGCAACAAGTGTGGCCAACGCAAAAGGATTGGCACTGACCACACTCACATTGCAGGTGTGTCATACTGTGTGACTGTTAGTGGAAAGACTGTGGAGGAGTGAAGGGAAGAGATGAAGAGAAGACAGGAGGACAACGTTTTCTGTCTTCATTTATAACTTTTCATTTACATTTTTTTTTTTTAATTATATTTTATTTGTTGCATTTGGAGTGGTGTTTGTGTCACCTGATGTCTCATGATGATCTCAGTCCAGTGTTCCCTCTCTTTTAGCTCTGTGTTTGGTCTCCACCAGCTCCTGAGGGAAATCTATGCTCCACTATGTTCACCAACTGCTCTCGGACCATGTCTGTCTGCTGTTTGCTGCTGAGGAGGTATGCTTTCTCATAGCTTCACATGTGCTGTAGTACAGTGGATGGATGGACATCAGTTGAGAAAAACGAAGACAAAATAGAAGCTAAATTTAGACTGAAATGAGAATCACAGTTTTGTCTACTGAGCTGTAGAAGAGCAAGCTTTGAGCAGTAAAATATTCCTCTGGGTTATCACCCAACTCTGCCGCTCCTCTCAGCTGTTTGGAGATTTTACAGCAGCATGTCTTTACTGTTACTGGTTTGTTCTCATTGCATTGTTTTTGGACGCAGCAGGCAGCTATTGTCACAGAAAAAGCTATAAAAATCCATTGTGCAATACCTGCTCAGCACCAAACAGCAGACAGACACAGTTAGCGATTGGTGATAGAATGAAAGCATTTAGCAGCTGAAAAGCCACATAATTCCCATAGTTTTGGATTTACCATCTCCACATGTCCTGCCACCAAGTCACCCAAAAATCTGATGTTAGCATCAGAGTCTTGTTGTTAAATAACATCGTAATCAGCCACACTATGTACTTTATATGTAACTGTACAATGTGAGAGATCCCTGAAGTCTTAAGCACAATACTGTGAACATTTCCTCAGTGTTCTCAGGGGTAGTTACTATACTACACACACACTCACACATACAGTTATGTAGAGTACTAGAAGGTGCTAAAACAACACAAAAATTCATCCAGTCTGTAAGTGTTTTGCCAACCATCAACCTCCATATATTGAGATAATGTAAGACAGTTTGTATTAGTTTCATGTTTATGTGTAAAAATATGAATGTCTTGTGAAGATGAATGAATCACATCCTTATCTGAGAATATGGCTGTTTTCCAAAATTCAATAAAAAGTGACAGTCTCAGTTTTTATCAGGCAACAGTCTTATGTCTGTGCATATCCATGCAAAACAAATGAACCGTTTCCAATATTCCTCCTAATCTCTTTACTGGCCCAGCTCTTTTCAATCCATATATTTTTATTGGACAATCGCAATCCCTGCAACATCGATTACAAGACTTCATAACTGTAAAGTTGCTGCTGCTGCTAACCATGTCCTTTGGATCCCATGGATTCTCTGCTGTCTGCTGATGTAGAAATGTTCAATTCAGATCAGATCCACTGCTTGGTGTGATAAATTGAGCAGCATGGCTGAGAATCTGTTACTGAACGTTACCTTTTTCTTTTTCCAACACCAGCTGTTAATTCCCACGCTACTCTGTGGCTCTGTAAATGATTCATGCTGATACGTGTTGTCTATTTTGGAATCAGCAGGGAAACTATAAGAGCTTTGAGTCTGAATCCCTGGTACTTTTCAGAGTGAAACACTGACTCACTGCTACCAAGATGGCGAGTCTGTTCACTGCTGTGGCCGTGCTGGCTGTGTTGTCTGGTGGGTTGTGTGAGGAGAAAACCTTTCTTCAGAGAGCTGGTGTGGCCTTTAACAACAGAGAGTATGAATCTGTGCTTACTGTGACCAATGGAGAGCAGTTTGGTAACTGGACCTGGGTGGAGATGTGTCCTGACAAGTTCTTTGCTGTTGGATTCAGTATCAGGGTAAAGACACTGACACTTCCACATATTACAAAAATGTTATTTAACATAAACTTAGGCAAGGCTAATAAATCTCTTTCCTAACTGTTTTATAAGTCCAATATGATTTTTGCTTTTCATGTAGTACACTGGCTGGAAAGCTGAAAGCTGCATATTCAGAAGTCTGAATAAAAAATTACTTTTACTTGCTGTTTTGATTATCAGCCTTCTTCAGAATGAGAACAACAGTCATTTCACTGGAATTTACACTCATCAGCCACATCATTAAAACGGGTTTAATGCTGTGATTGAATGCCAATCAGGACAGGTGTTACAAATCAAGTAAATCGATCTGAGGCCACCTGAGGGTCCATCGCATGCACAGTCCCCTAATGAGATTCATGTAGGTTATATTTTTCTGTTATTTTTGTCTCATCGTTTTATTGTAAATTAATTTTTCACATAATAACGTAGACCTTTGTCATGTTTCTTTCTGGTTTGTGTCTGTTGTCTTGGCCATGTGGACATGTGACCTGAGGTCCTCAGTTGGTCTCAGGTTGATTGTCTTGATTCGTAGCATCTGACACAGACGGTTGTTTCTTATCCTGAAGATGAAATATGGAACAGAGAGTGGGGACTGTTTGCCAAAGTTTTAACACAAATACATCAGCAATATGAGTGTGCAGCTTTCCATTCTCCATGTAGTTTCATAAATAGACAGCTTAGTTAAAAGGATTTTAAATGAAGATTTAGAATTCCTTGTGGAGAAGCTTGAAGGTCCAGGTTCATGTTTTCTTTCAACTCACGCCCACTATCAGATTTTGGCTGATTTAGTTCCTCCTCCTCCTGCTGGCCCCGAAGAGATGCCTCTCTGATGTGCTTCCATTATAAGACACGGAGGACAAAATTCACACTTGTCATTCTGTGCATAAGCTTAGCCAAATCTAATAAAGCTTTAGCAGTCTGAGTCATTCAAATCAAGCGGTTATCTTTTATAAAGTTGCAGTCTTTAGATTTCAAAAATCCCGAGATTGCAGTAAGAGTAAGGATTATGGAATTTATCTTCCATGTTATATTAGCATTGTGTTTGGACACAGTCTTCACAGCCAATATAAAGAGGAGGGATAATCACAGTGACTGGAAACTGTTTAAATATAAATATGGGCATGTGAATATTGTTTTGACAGTTGTTAAAAAGGTGCCTTTAAGTTTAAGTTGTCTTACAGAGGGAAAATATCTGATAACAACAAGCTCCAGTTGCTCAGTTTTTTAATGCAGAAATATTCTGAGGTACCTGAGCATTTCAGTAAGAATCCTTCCTATGTGTTTACTTGCATGCAGAACAACACAGTTCTCAGTAACAGAGATGCACTCTGAATAGATAAATACCTCTTGTTGTTTCAGATATGAACCCACACTTCTCTACACAGACTGCAACAAACCTTCTAAACAATCTGTTCACACCAATTTTCACACTAAATCTGCCTGCTGCTTTACCAGGCGTGAGATAAAGAGCTGGTCTGAGCAGAGCTGTTACTTTGTCTAGGAACTATTTTGTGTTTCCTCAGGTGGAGACCAACCAGTACATGTCAGACGACACTGGCCTGAACGGGATCCGCCTCATCTGCTCCAAAGACGAGCGCCGAAGCTTCCTGTACTCTGTTGAGTCCCACACTGGCTAGTAGGTAGCAAGCAACAGTATGACTATAAAAGGCTATATGTTGTAATAATTGCGTTATTAGTGGTTAATAAAACAATTTTCAGTTGGCAGGTGTTTATCCTTTATTTTTGATAATAATGAAGTTGAAATGGTATCAAAAACATCTTAATTAATGCTTATGGGTTTTTCACTTTCTTATAAGACATTATGTCAACTGTCATAAAAATTTGTTTTAATCATCAAATCTGCAGTTGTAATTATTAATAGGTTGTAAATAAGTGGACTTTGGTCCAGATTGTCAGCAACCCTTTTATATAATAATAGAAATAACACATTTTCTAATGTTAATGTTACAAGTGTTAAATGAAAAATTAGCACGAGCTAATAAGAGTAAGGAAAAATATATTAAATTGAATAAAATACCCAAAATACCCACAGTACAATAAACAATACACTGTGGAAGTGGGAAAAAAAAAACTGCGTGCTGACATTAAAGATTAAGTGATTTTAAAAAGATGATTCTGAGAAAGGAGCGTACAAGTGGTCTAACCAGTCAGTGGTTGTTTTCACTACCTGGCAACCCAAAACGTGTTCTTTTAAATGCCCCATAAATGATCTATAAAGCTTCAGTAAATGACTTTTTAACCAATTAAAAAGCCACTATTGTTACAACTTATGAATGCTTCATAAAGGGTACCTTATTAGAAAGCTGTACCCCTTGAATAAAAACGATGACATAGCCGTTTAATACGGGGGAAACTATTCTGAAATGTATAAAATCTAATATTACCCAGACGTAAATGCACTTGATTTTTCTTGCTTTTCAGTTTTAGCAGTAAATGAAGACGAGGCAAACTGCCCTGCCACATCTGCATGTGGTTTGTTTCTTCTAAAAAACGCAACCATTGTTTTGTAGGGAGCCGGTATTAAGCAGCAGGAAATCTAATGTTGGACGGTAATGAACATATCAGTAGACACACTTTCCTTCACCCTCCTTGAGAATGTCTGCTGTTTACGCTGAAATGTTTTTATTGATGTCTTTAAATGTTCAGCTGTTTGTTGCTGTGGGCAGATCTATCTTGGGAAAGATCCTCGATCTCAGTGGGACTAACCTGGCTGTATTATAAAGGTTAAATAAGAATTAGATAAAAAAAAATAGTATGCACTTGGAAGCAGCAGGAATCTGGAGGTTGGCAGTTTCCCATCATGTTCAGAGGGGAAATGAAAACACTGTTTCTGCCAGGATTGCAAATTAGGTGTTCAGATGTTGAAATGTCTTGACTTCCCTCCAGTGTTTCCAACCCAAACCTTGGATCTTTTCCTGATCTTTTTTCCCCCCTTCTCTCTCCTGTATTTCCGGCTCTCCTGTCCAGCTTCGGCGACTGGTCCCAGCCTCAGTACTGCCCCAGTGGCGTGCTCACCTCTTTCCAGATTCGCGTGGAGCCTCATCAGGGTCTGTTTGGCGACGACACAGCCGTCAACAACATCAAGTTCCGCTGCAGTAGTAACCCGGCGCTGGAGGGACCCGGCATGACCTGGGGAGAGTACGGAAGCTGGAGCCAGGAGTGTATTAACGGAGGAATCTGTGGCATTGAGACCAAGATGGAGGACTACCAGTACGGCCTGGACGATTCCGCCCTCAATGATGTGCGCTTCCATTGCTGTGCCAAGGTTCAGCAGGTAAGATGGAGGGTTAAATGATGGGAACCAAAGCCCAGATGTACATAGACTCTAGATGGCTTTATTTTGGTTTATTTGAATAAGTGAGAACAATTTTATTCCAGACGGTTTGGCCCCAAGCCACACCAAAATTGCCTGAAAGTGTTGGCGGTATTGCCACCAAAAACGGTAACTCTAAACTCTTACCCTGTCCCTAACCTGCAGCAAGATGCATGAGAAGCCAACCTTTTGTCTGTGTGTGTTTTTACAGGAGTGGTGGAAGAGATATTCAGCCCCTTTATTTAAGTTAAAGTACCAGTGCAACAGTAGAAGTCTTTCATTGAAAAGTATCAGCAAAGTGTCCTTTCATTGTTAAAAGTAAACTTAATACTATTAAATTAAAAGGGAAACACTTTTTGCACACTTGTGGCGCCGGCTGTTCACGCCCCAGGAAGCCAGATGTAACTGAGAGGCAGACTCCTGGAAACCCGTCGTCTTGTTTAATTTGAATAATATCACGAGAGGGGAAAAACCTAGCTTCATTCAAATAACATCAGTCAGTGGAAACACAGACCATCGCACATCTGTAGTCCAAGTCATGTGAAATCCACAATTCAGTATCTAATAAATGTCTTCTTTCAAAATAAAACTGCACATTTTAAAGTGGCCTTAAATTATGACCAGCCCAAGGCACATCTGTGCATCATGTGGTGTAATCAGCATCTTGATATGCCACACCTGTCAGGTGGATGATTATCTTGACAAAGGAGAGATGCTCACTGACACAGATTTAAACACATTTGTGAAGAAAATTTTACAGAAAAAACCTTTTGAGTGCCTTAGATCTTTAATTTCAACATATGCAAAATGGGAGCAAAAACAAAAGTGTTGCATTTATATTTTTGTTCAGTGTGGCTATTCTGCAGAAACCATAAAATATAAAAAATACTCAAGTAAAGTAGAGTTACTTAAAAACTGCACTTGAGTAATTAGTTTCCACCACAGCTAGTTACAGGTAATCTCGCCAAGGTCACTGGGGCCTTTGAAAAACTTGGGGACAAAAAGCTGATTGAAATAAAACTGAATTTTTAAATGGGCTGTCACAAAACATGAAGCTATCAGGTAAATGAAAACATATCTGTAGTGTTTTCAAACTTGCATCCAATCGAATGGCTGTGCCTGAGGATTTCTCATTATCTTAAGAGTTTTTTCATGATGACAGGATTTTCTCCAGATGTTCCCAGACAATAAAGATGCAGGCCTGGCTACTTTAGGAACCTAAGCACCAGCTGTTCGGGCGTCTTTCAGAAATCAGTATTAGAAAGACATGCACGAAACACAGAGGCAGATTAATGTGACATCCTGGTGATTAGAATGTGAAAACATGCCTTGAACATCAGGGTTAAGAAATATGATAAGCTCATGCATACCAATATTAACCTGGCTGACTTACTAATGCCCATCTGGACACTTAGTTTTCAGACATTTCTTTATGCTGTATGTTCTTAATTTATGGACATAAAATAATGTTTAATCACAGTTACTGAGTCTGGAATCAGTTTTGTTTGTGAACTCAATCTCTAACCTCAGACATGACAGATTATTATAAAGCATGGTCTAATAACTGAGCAACCTTTCAGACGTTTGTTTCCAAGCTCTAATTTGTGATCAGGCTGAACCAAATCCAAAAATACAACAAAGCGAAGATTTTATTTATTTATTTTGTGCTTCTGATCAAAGAAAATGAACTACAGGTTTGACTGCAGCCTATAAGTCTGCTGTTTGTTTGAGCCACAATGGCTCCTCTCCAACACAGAAATCAAATCCCATCAGAGCTTTTTGTCTTGTGTTTTTATTTAGTTATTTTCCCACTTTCTGAATAGATAAATGAAATTATGTGAGTGTGTTTTTTTTGTTTATTATTGTATTGAATTATTCATTTTAATTAAAAGTGTTCCAAAGGTGATATTGTGTACCTTACACAAAGAGAAACAAGCTAGAAAACTGTATCCCGATGATCTTGGGAAGCTTCAAAATACATTTTTCACCTTGGAAACAGCAGTCGACTAAACTATCTCACCTTTAGCTGTTGTGGAACTTTCAACCATATTACACAGTCTTCATCAGCAGATGTTTACCACGTTTAATGGAAATCTAGATGTTAAAATTTAAATATTTTTTTCTAAGCCCTTTACAGATTTATTATTGATGTTGGCTTTAAATTACAGACTAACTAGTAACTGGCTCTTGAGGTGAAATTATTTTGTACAGTTTGATTCAACATTTAAAGGTATGCAAATTTGTGGGATGTTTTTGTGACGTTATTCAAATATAACGGATATTAATCTGTGATGCTGTTCTTTGCTGTTAGTGAATTTGTGCTCTTATGTTTTCATTGACAGTGATTGACTGTGTGACCGGCTTGATCCAGTCCTTCTCCGACACCCTGAACTCAAAGACAGCAAAAAATAAACATTGCACATTTCAATGTCCTCTGTCTGTGTAATGCTTCCTAGAGCCTCGAGTCGCTTGTATAGTTTCAGTTCCTTCCTTAAAAATGCAACCATGCACCAAGATCAGAGTTTGCGGCATTAAATGGTTATTTGCCGAAACACAGAGCTCTCAAAACGAAGTTGAGTGTCACCTTCAGCAGCAAAAGCAACAAGATTAGGAGCGCTGCATCAAATCAAGCCTTCATCTGAGGAGCCACTTTTTTACATCATGCCATCCCCTCCTCACCTCTCATCAGCTCGAGAGCAGCATGTTTTCATATCCTGTCTAATGAACCAATGAGCTCATAGCAAAGTCATGAGCGTGAACACAAAACAGAGCCGCTGACACAGGCATTTCCCAGAATTCCTGTTGGAACTAAGGTAATTAAGAAATGACAAGAGAGGGGGGTATTAATTAATTTACAGTTTAAGGCCTGACAAAGGTTGATAAGACACCGATTGGCACACACGGAGGTAATTGTGTTAATTAATCGGTGAGTAGTTAATCTGCTAACACGGAGTGTCTGTGTGTGTGTGTGTGTGTGTGCGCGCGCGCGGCCGGTTGGGAGGGAGGGAACTCGAGGACGTTATCAAACTCGGTGGTAATGGTTTTCAGAAGATTTTTCAAGTCAAGGCAAAGCGATCTTCAGCACACAGCTACAGTGTTCCTCTACACTATACTAATAAATACACTCATATCTAACTTCAGAGTGTACTTCCTGGAGTTAGACACTAGTGCACTTGTTGGTCTGCTTGGAATATGGATACGCTTATATCAGCAGGAGGAGGGTTAACAAGGAAAACAGCTGTGTGGGGAGTTCAAGTTAGCAATGTAGAAGCAGCTCCATCCATCATTTTGTTTTTGTCTAAAATGTCTAAAAAGTGCAGATAAATGCTTCAAATCACTTATCTTAACAACACTTACCAACTCACCATTGTTAATTGATGTTTCCAAAGACACCTGAGATGTCAGGCTGAATCTCTATGAAATGTCTATAAAATGATGCACAAGACAGAATATTTCCATTAAATGAAATGATGCAGCTATTAAAACATACACGAGTCTTGGGTTTAAATAATTCATTCAGTGAAAAATCATTTAGCCTCAATGAGGAGTTGGAACAGGCTGATACAGAATATATATGATACTGCCAGACAGTGTGGAGTAAGATTATTTTTAATTACCTTATTCTACCTGAAGGGGTATTCTACTTGCATAAAGTAAAGAAGAGAAAACAGGGGCTGAGATATCTTGACTTTTAGTATGGGTCAGGCTTCGAACATACTGGAGTTGTTTTTGGCTGCAGCTGTGGAGTAAAAAGTAAAAAAATTTCCTCTTAAAATGAACCTCTTGAATTCCCTCTCTTCTACTTCAACAGTAGAAGTATAAAGTAGCAGATACTGGAAATATTCAAGAAAGTACCTTAAATTGTACTTCAGTAAATGTACTTAGTTATTATTTATACTACTTATCAAATACTTGATTATCTGACAGGAATCATAGTCTTATCACAATAGACTCACTTTGTTTCTGTGAAATTACATGTGCAATGTACACAATTACTGGATGCAAGTAATACTGTGCAATTTTTAAAAATGCTATATAATGCAAATGCTCTGTGCAATATATTTCAATATTTTCAACACTTTTTTTGTTTTTAAAGTGAACGCTAATTACTTATTTCTCTGTTTGCACTATATGTAAATATCTTTGTAAATATCTCTACAAATGTAATTGCTTAAAATGTACATACCTTCTTATTTATGGTTGATTTGTTATTTTCTACTTTATTCTATTATACTTGTTTTTTTCTTATACCTCATTTTCCTATGCTGCAGTAAAAAGTGAATTTCCCCGGTGTGGGATCAATAAAGGTTTGTCTTGTCTTCTCTTGTCTTGTCTTGTCTTTCTTATCTTATCTTATCTTATCTTATCTTATCTTATCTTATGTATTTTGAAGTCTGTCAGTGCACAGGAAGCCTTGGACATCCACTAGATGGCAATGCTGCGTCAAGTGGAACTTCAACCCACATCTCTCACCAGAACCTGTGACTTTAATGGCGCAACACATCCAATATGAACATCTTAAACTGCTTTTATGAGTGCAATGAATTTTAGATCAATCAGTTCAGAAATGTTCAACAGCTGGCACCGCCGTGCAGCTCCACCTCTTAGTGCACCAAAGAAGCCCTCTGGGCACGTGGGCCTGAAATCTGCATTGAATCAACCTCAGCCCTGTCCTGAACACCGTAACAGCATCCTGCACAGTCATCATGAAAACAAAGGGAGTTCATTATTCAAAACACGCTGCCCTCAGCATGTTGTCATGTAGCATTACCGTGGAGCCCTTCAGTGGAACCTTGGGATGTAACGCCCCAGGTCATAAGTTTAATATCCGAACCAGAGGCTCAGTGTATTTCTGACCAGCTTAGTGGCTCGCCAGCGGTCTCTGTTCTGTCTCAAGAGCAATTAATGCCTCCTGTAATGAACAAAATGGACAGAGCCGACCAAAGCTTTTATGGGGCCCTAAGCAGAATTTGATTTGGCCATGGGCATAGGTTTGGTCTCAACAATGGTAGGGAAACAACAACCTTGCCATCCCTCCGAAACAAAGAGAATGACTTTTTAATGCCGTCAACCAAACGGTTTATTGCCATAAAATCTAAATTTACATTCAGAAATGCCCATACACAACTGTAATATATGTACATGTGTTGAATTTCGATGTATGAAATATATGTAAATATGAAGTAAAATCATATATGTATATACAGTATAGCCTACATATGTAAAAATTTGTAAAAATTTACCTAATATGAATGTCTTTGGATTGCGGGAGGAAGCCGGAGTAACCCATGGAGGCAGAGAGAAAACATACAAACCCACCAAAGGAAAGCCCCAGGCTTGGGGTTTGAACTCTGAACCTTCTAATTGTGAAGTAACAGTGCTAACCACTGTTCTACTGTACTGCCTCATGACTAAGTGGTAGTCTGGCTGGTAAAGCATAAAAACATCAAAGTATGGTAAGGAATAAAAACATCAAAAAACGTCAAAGTATAGAAAAGCACAAAAATGTCAAAAAAGGTAATAGTATAGTAAGGCATAAAAACATGGAAAAACGTCGAAATATAGCATGGAATAAAAAAATTACAAAACATCATAGTATAGTATGGGAAAAAAGTTATATTAAGACATAAAAACATCAAAAAATGTCTTGTATAGTATGGCAAAAAAACGTCCAAAAACGTTATATTATATTAATGCATGAAAAGGTCAAAAAACGTCATAGTATAAGAAGACATAAAAACATAAAATAACGTTATATTATAGAAAGGCATAAGAAAATCTTAAAAAATTCACAGTAAGGTCAGAGATAAAAACTTTTTAAAATGTCAAAGTATAGTATGGCATAAAAACACTACAAATCGTCATAGTATAGTATATAGTATGGGTAAAAAAGTTATATTATAGAAAGGCATAAAAAGTCATAAAAATGACATAGTATTTATGCCTTACTATACCATGACTTTTTTGATGACTTTTTATGCCTTAACTATACTAATGACATTTTTGATGACTATTTATGCGCTTACGTATAACTATGACTTTTTTTATGACGTTTTTATGCCTTACTATACTATGACAATTTTTATGACTTTTATGCCTTACTATACTATGACTTTTTATGCCTTACTATACTATTGCGTTTTTGATGACTTTTATGCCTTACTATACTATGACTTTTTTTATGACTTTTTGATGCCTTACTATTATATGACTTTTTAGGCCTTAGTATCACTATGACTTTTTATGCCTTACTATATTATGATGTTTTTATGACTTTTCATTGCCTTGAGTATAACTATGACTTTTCATTCCTACTATACCCCATGACTTTTCTTTATGACTTTAGCCTTTACTATACTATGACGTTTTTGATGAACTTTTTATGCGCTTACTTATTACTATGATTTTCATGGCCTTACTATACCATGACTTTTTTGATGAGGCTTGTGTTTCATGCCTTTACGTACCTATGGACGGTTTTATGACTTTTTATGCCTTACGTATACTGATGACTGTTTTATGCCTGTACATACTATGTCGTTTTTATACTTTTAATGCCGTTACTATACCATGACTTTTTTTATGACTTCTTTATGGCCTTACTTTACTGATTGACGTTTTAATTATGGACTTTTTATTGCCTTACGTAGTACTATGACTTTTTATGACTTTTTATGCGCTTTACATATACTATGACTTTTTATGCCTCACGATATACTATGACTTTTTATTGGCCTTACTATACTATGTCGTTTTTATGACTTTTGTATGCCTTTACTATAGCTATGACATTTTTATGACTTTTTTATGCCTTACTATTGCCATGATTTTTTTTATGAAGCTTTGTATGCCTTACTATACTATGACTTATTTATGACTTTTTATGCGCTTATATACTGATGTCGTTTTTGATGACTTTTTATGCCTTGACTATATATGACTTTGTTATGACTTTGTTATGCCTTACGTATACATAATGCGTTGTGTTATGACGTCTTTATGCCTTACTATACTATGACTTTTTATGCCTTAGCTATGTAGTATGACTTTGTTATGCCTTACTATACTATGACTTTTGTATGCGCTTACTATACTATGACGGTTTTATGGACTTTTATTGCAGCTTAGCTATTAGCTATGGATGTTTTTATGAGCTTTGTATGCGTTCACTATACTATGACTTTTTATTGCCTTACTTATACTATGACGTTTTTATGGACTTTTTGTATACCTTACGTATACTATGTCGTTTTTATGACTTTTTATGGCCTTACGTATACTATGACTTTTTATGCCGTTACCTATACTATGAGCGTTTTTATGACTTTTTATGCCTTTACGTATACGTATGTCGTTTTTTATGACTTTTTTATGCCTTACTATACTATGACTTTTTATGCCTGTACGTATACATATGACTGATATTTA